GCTGTGCTAGTCTGTTTATGATGAGTAGATGTTTTTTCCAGTGTGTTTTCTCCATTTCTTAGGTTTCTTTAGTAAAGGCTTGGCAAAAATAAAAGTTCAGAGAGGTTCATTGTCTGTAGAAGTGAAGAATTTGATTTGTCTTTGTCAGGCCTAGTCTCTTTCCTTGTCACAGGAATTTCTTTCCTTAGTGTAGTTCACTAGCAAAGAAGTGGTTGTTTGGTTCTTTACTGCAGAAAAAGCCTGAGGAAGAGCCTAGAAAACTTTTTTCCTTTGTCTCTGCTAGCGTTGCTTGGTAATAACTGTGTGTAATGGAAATGTTAACTTCCCTAGTGAGAGAGCTGTCTCAGGGTTGATACCAAAGTGGGAAGAAGCGCAAGGAAAAAGCTGTTGACGCTCCAAAGTAGCAGTAATTATAGCTAACATTTGTTGTCCTGCAGTTTCTAGAGGTACCTGTAGTTTGTCACAGGCATTCATGCTGTTGTGAACATTGCCATCGAGATGGTTAAGCCTAGAGTATGAATCCATTGTGCACACCTCCCTCTTTCTTCTCCAGTGTATATATGGATTTATATAATCAGTATCTAGTGAAGACCCTATATAACCGAAATTCCACAGGTCACTAATTTAATCCATATCTGCACACACAAGTATTCAGGATTATGTTTCCAGACTGACCTGGTGCTGTTGGCCTCATGGACAGGAGTCAGCCTGTGTTTCAGGATGTGGTATCGTTGTGCGTGTTTTATCTTCCCCCTGAACCCCACTGAAGTTGCATTTGTGTCTTCCTTTTCATACCAGGCTTGAAGAACAGGGATTTTCGGGTGGAGATGAGCTGGCTGTGAACTTGCTGTGCCGAAGTGAAACTAATGCTCGGGAGGATGGGGGGAGCACTTAAATGGTGTTTGCATGTGCAAGTCGGCAAACGAAAAACATTATGTAAAGGTGCAAATAACCGCGATGAAGCACACGTGCGTCTTTTACGTTTTGCAGCTGTGTTGCAATCATCTGTTTGCCTTCCTGGCAGTGTTTCGAATGGGATTCCTGTGACTTCAGGAGGCTGCAGCAGTTCCTGCTTCCTGTTTCACATGTAAATGCTTAGGTGCAGTGACCATAGGCGATCCCTAGTGTTAGAGTTAGTTCTCGAGGAGTAAATCCATAATGTTCTAATTAGTACTTCACTAAATACGTGTACAAGTTGGATACAGTTACAGTTAGATAAAATTGTTGCTCAGATTCTCGAAAGAGGTTTGACCCAAGCTTTTTCTTCTAGTTATTGCAGAAACAGAATAAAATTGATGGAACCTCTCTTGGAGGGGGGGGGAAATGCATTTTAAAATTGAACCTCTTTTATTTGTCAATGCTTATGTTCACTGTCCAGCTTACGGAGGGTTAAGTTGCTCTAGAAGATTGAGACGAGGTCTTCCAAATTTGGGCCAGGGATAGAGTGCTTTTCTTTTTTTTTTTTTGCCTTCCAGTGTTGTTGATATTCAAAACCAGTTTTCACATTTGAAGGCTGTTTGGTAGCAAAGAAAAAATGGCTGGAGGTTCTGGAGATGTGTCATTTTGTTAACAGGAAACTGAGCAGGAAAAATCTTCGAGTTCTGTAGCCAAAATCTCTACAAAGAGACAAAAACAGGATGGATATAAAATCAGCTCTCTACTCGTTATCTTAGAGCTTGTTGTTCATTAAAACTGACTTCCTGTGATTGTTCCCAAAACTGATGCATGGTGCCTTTTTAATTTTTTTAAAGAAATAAAAATGCTGGCGACTTTGGCTTCTATGGAAGAAGGGCTTTATTGATTTCAGACAGTAGGAAACAGATCATGTGAATCAACATTTAAAAAGGAATTTCACTGGGCAGTTAATGCTTTACACTGTTACTTTTTCTTCCCTGTGTGGTAAATGGAACTTAGTCATCTCTGGAAGCTTTACGTCTGCCTCCGTCATTTGGTACTCATCACAGAGGTTAAAGCTGGTGTAATCTTTGGCCATTACGTACTAGGTTTTGGTGGCTGAGGTGATGTTTCTGTCTCCATAATGCAGCATAACATCCTCGCTGTTGCAGTACAGTTGGCAGAATTTCAGATCTTCCAAACCATGTGAAACACGGCTTCTAAAACAACTGTTTACAAATGCCAAGAATCTGCAGTGTGGAGAGGTCTGCTCAGTACCCAGATCGTCTCGAATTTGGGCCTGGGAGGCGTTATGAACGCGCAAAGAACTCGCCGGTCACCCTGAAGCCTGGGGTGCTCCGTCTCAGGCGTTGCCTACCTGTGTGTTCAGAGCTGTCAAGTAGGGCTTGGGAAAAGTCAGTCGTGAAACGAGTGATTTTGGAACCTTATCTCTGTAACTTTTTGGAACACATAAAGGGACATACAGTTGCACTAAAATACAGAAGAATCGCAGTCACGCTAAAAGGAGAGGGACCTTTTCATGTGCGGGGGAGCGTGCTTCTTGGTGTAGGGGTTGGTCAGCTTGCGCTGATCTAGCAGACCAGATCTGATGTAGCACTGCATTTGACAGCTGTTTCTTCTTCAAATGCGTGAAGTTGGAAGAGTAACAGATTGGAGGAGGAGCGATGTGTTTGCTACAGAAAGTTAGGTTAAAAAGCAATAAATTTGTGTGAAAGGCTCTTACTATTTCTGGTGGTATCTTTCTTGCAGTTTTGGAACCCTAATTGCAATTGGAGTTACTGTTTGTGCAGTGATTGTAATTACTATTATTCTGTGCCTCACCTGTTCCTGTTGCTGTTTGTATAAAGCGTGTCGAAGACCACGGCGTAAGTACCTGTATATTTATTTTCTTTTTCACATCTTTGAACAAGACTTCCCCACCCCCCTGGAAATATTTAAGCTGCTTCAGAATGTGAAGTTGCAGAGATACTTTGGGATGTTTTCTAAGTGTTTAGAAGTTCTCTTTCCTCACCCCCCTCAATGTATGGATTTTGGGGTGGTTTCTCAATGTATGGATTTTGGGGTGGTTTCTGTTTCTGGGTTGCTTTTGTTTATTTGTTTGTTGAGGTAAGCAGGGGATAGAATGGAATGTTAAATTTTTCCCAGTCTCTTAAAAATGTACCTGAAAAATACTGTTGCAGTCCTGGGCCTTTGTTGTACAATCTTGAACAAAGTCTTTAATTGCAGCATAAAGAGGAAGGAGATCTTAAACAAATTATTGCTGTTTATTAGCTCCTACAAAAATTGATGATGTAATATGTATTTGCTTTTCTGACTCTTATTTAGAGAAAGAAGTACTAACACATGGATGCTTTAGTGTGTAGGCAACATACGAAAGGAAAAACGTGGGCAATCATGGTAGGAAGCTCCTTACCTAATAAAGATGATCCTTATCACCCTAATCTTGAAAAACAGTTCACATTTAAAAATTAGTAGTTTTTCCAGTCTCGTACCAAATGATAGGTAACTTGGCTGCAGGATTTAGTTCCTGGCTTTTGAAGAGTCTGAGAAAAAAAATTCGTTGTTCTTTGTGGTTGAGAAAAAAAGGAAGTAAGTTGGCTGCTGTGCCAGTACGTGGTGGAGGTTCTTATTACCACTGAGATCAATGGAAGGATATTTAGAGGCATACATTTTTACATCTTCCGTGGAACTTCAAAAATGAAATTACCCAGATTTTGAAGTGAGAAATTGATCTTGAGAGATAATGGTTTTTTTACATTACTGTTGTTGGCTGTCCCAGGTGATCTCCTAGAACCACCAGCACTAACCATGTTCCTTTTTTGCTTGTTTGTAGCTGTTGTGACCACCACTGCTTCTACTACAGTGGTTCATGCTCCCTATCCCCAACAACAGGGAGTACCACCCAACTACCCAGTAGCCCCATATCAAGGATATCAGCCTGTGGCTATCCAACCACAACCGGGAATGCCAGTAGCACCATACCCTGCACAGTATCCTCCCCCTTACCCCATGCAGCCATCGGGCCCCCCAGCTTATCATGAAACGGTGGCAGGTAAGGCAATGCCGAGTGTTTCTTAATCCCTTAAATAGCTAGAGACAGTTGTATTGGAGCCAATCTTATATTATTTACACTTACTATTTTCTATGACTATATCAATGTAAATGTATGCAAATTATGTAAAACTCAAGTGATGATGGATGCTGTAATTCACCCTTGCTGAAGTTTCCCCATCACCATTTCTATGTTAAGCATTGCAAGAGGAGATGTAGCTGGAGCTGTATTGGCAAAGTTTGGTATGTGGGACTAGCAGTGGATCCAGTAGAATGTTTTACTAATTCGGTTGAAATTTCATATTAAAATCAAATTCCAACTAACATAGCTATAGTATGTGTTTCTACATACCCTTTCTAATCTAATATTTGCTAGATACTTTAATCTATACACAGATGGCATTTTCTAGTAGTTCATCACTGTTTATAGAATAACAATCTCTGATCAACTTCAGACAAGTTTGCCAATGACTAGCAGTGAGAATTATCAGAATCTTTTCTTCTTTCAAAGCATTGTTTTCCTGCAGCTTTACTGTTGCTATTACTAATTGGTACGTCTGCTGGTAATAGCTGTTCTCTGAATGATTGGCTCCTGGCTGTTCAGAGAGGCCAAAACTAGGCTGTTACCTGTCCTAGGATCTTCAAGCCCTCTTACAAACTACACTGTTCATCCTTCTAGGTAACAAGCAAAGTATAGTCCTGAATAGTTGATAACTTAGAAAGTAACTCTTTCTTGATGACTCAAATATAAATAAAATATAAAAAGTCTGTTCATGGTCTTAAGCATTGTACATTAACGATGTGCAAAACAGCTGTGCATGTAAAGTCACTGACTTAGCAGGCCTGTTGGCTTTATTTTTCTGTTGTAAACTGTGAAGAAGGTGTGGGTTTTATGGAGATTACCCCAAAATGCTTGGCTTCATCTTTGTCATGTGAGGGAGCAAATAAACTAGTCATTTTGCTTCTCCTACTCTCTGGTTTCTCAAACCGTTGCTGGTTTGTTAGTTATTAAAATATTTTTTTTTTCCTGTGAAATTCTTAAAGCACTTTCCATGTTGCCAGCTGGGAATCCCTCAAAATGAGAGCTCTTTCCTTTATTTCCCTTGTCACTCTCTTAATTAGGTCACATGCAAGGGAGACAATACCTGGTCTGTCACACAGGAGCCAGACCCATTCACTTCACAAGATTCAGCAAAGGATAACTACACTTGTATGTTCCAGGGAACTGATCAGGTGCTCCCTTACTGGAACTAACTTGTGCTATTTGACAGACCTGAAAATGCAGATCCTGCTTGAGAGCAGCTTGCCTGAGAATACTAGAAAATAAGGATGTCTTCTGAGTGCTATACACCTAGTATAGAAGTCAAACTCTTTTTAATGTGCTTGGTAGCAGTGGGATACTTTTTCCCTTTTATTTTTATTTTTTAATTAACTGTGTGACTCTTACCAGGAAAGTATTTTCCCTGAAGGAATCCTAAAATGCTTTCTCTAGTCCTTTTTCTTTGGCCCAGTGGTTTATTTTCACTTCTCGGCATCCACAGAACAAACCCAAACCACAAGAACGAAGTTTTTTTGTGATCTTACTTTTGAAATGTAGATGCTTTGAGTTAGCACAAACTGTTCTCAAGTCCATTTAAGATGCTAGATAAGTTGAACCTCTTTACCATGTGCTCAAAACAGAAGTTGCTATTATAGATGTAGAATTCAGAATATAAGTCTTACAAATCTGTGTTTTTATTGTGTTTTTGCTTTTGCAGCTGGTGCTGGAGCACCTTACCCAATCAGCCAGCCCCCTTACAACCCTGCTTATGTGGATCCTCAGAAGCCTACCTATTGAAAAGATCCTCTACTATGCTTCTGCATACAAAACTTTTTCAAGTATAATTTGTTCTGTTTACACCCTGCAACTGTAGTATATTTTTCTGGAAGACAGCAATCTTTTGTCTAAGTAAAGTGAAAGTTCATTCAGTATCTTCTCTTTTTAAATACTTCGAGTACGAGAAAGGAATGTTTTTTCTTGTGGAAGTTGTTAATTTATACCTCAAGCAAATACAAAAAGATTTTGTTCTATATACAGTGAGAAAAGCATGAAGGAGGAGTACTTCAGAAATAAGAACCACAGTAACATTTGCTGTGCAATAATTTTGAAAGGAGTGGTCTAATATGAGCATTGTCAAACACCCAAAGCTGTAGCAGTCTTTTGCACAGTATTAAAACATAAAAACAATCTCTGTGAAACTACCTGATACGTTACATATGTTCTGCCTCTTTTGAAGCTACTATTGTTAGGTATGCTACAATGCAATACATTAATTTACCATTCAAAAGGGAATTTTCCTTTTTTGAAACGCATTTGCCTTCAGTAAGGGGTAACAAACCACGTTTAATTGTCTTTGGACTAGTTGCATTTTTCTGTGCTAAATAGCATGAGTTGATAATTTCCTTGTTGTCTTTCCCAATTTTAAGGCTCAAAAACTGTGCCTTCATTGGGTGTTTTCTCAGGCCATTTTCATTTATATCTAGAAATCAACAACAAAACCAAACTCTCTGCCACTTCATAGAACAAATAGATCAAAAGCTGAAAACCTGAGAATTCTTCATAAAAATTACTGGACAAGTATTTGTTGTCAAAGTTACTATTGGACAAGCTTACTTAAGTGATCTGTTGTTAATGAGTTTGGAAGAAAAACTAGCACCTTATCACGTTAAGCAGAAGTACCGGCCTGTGTTCAGTCCTGCCTCATCATAGGGAAGGAATTTATTTTACAGGAGTGATGGGATGTCAGAAATAGGCTGGGGTTTTTAAATGCTTAGAGTCTGTCACTGTCTGTCTCTAGTGGGAACTGTAGATGGCAGGAACCTAGGGATGATAGATCTTTATAAACTCAGTCTGCATTTGAGTAATAATACGCGGGACAATAAGAAATCCCAGCCCAACACACAGTAGAGATTAAACCTCCTGTTTGCCTTCAACATTCCCATAAAGCTGAGCAGAAAACAAGAAGTCAGGGAAAGGAAGAGTGATAGGATCTGGTCACAGCAAGGTAGTGTATTTTCAGGAAGGTAGTGCTTGCAGTCATGAAATGTCTTGAGACATCCTCAAGACTGTTGCCAATGTTTGCAAGGCTTTTGGCTCTATATGCCTTGTATTGATCAAAGGAATCATGAATTCTTTTGTCCTCTACAATTACATCTTTTCTAACATTGAAATACAATTTGTTATTCCTCAGTAGAGCTATCTAGTCAGTGGTATGTATCACTGTGACATAATTAGTGAAGTAATTTTGACATATCTCATACACTGTTTTAGAGAGGCCATTAAGCCATTTGTCCTGCGATTCTACATTTGGGGTATATTACTGTTTGAAAAACATTGATGGTGGCATTGTTTTACCTCATATGATGGATGGAAACTGCTGCTGTCAAAGGCAGCCTTATTTTTCTTCCTGATTCTTTGGTTTATTTCTGTGTTATTCCAATTCTTCTTTTCAAGAAAGTCTTCAGGGCATTTCAGAACAAAGTTGTAGAAAGTTTTTAGCATTGTGATTCATGACAACCTATGCCTCTCTGTTACACCTCTCTGAAGTTAATAGCATGAAGTGGTGCCAGGAGGCACTTGCAGAGCATGTATGCCCTGTATCTGTGTGTTCCTCCTCTTTTCTGCCTTGTAAGCCGAGAAATTGGGCAGTGCTTCATTCCACTGTTAGGAGTTACGTGAGGAAAAACCAAAAATGGACAGTGTCTCCTGTACGGAGGATGAAGTGTTTCCCTAGAAATTTGGAGTTTTTGTGGGTGGGTGGGCACTGAATAACTGCAGAAATAATTCCCTTGCTATAGATCCAACCCCTCTGTGTTTATTCATACAGAAGGAGGGCAGAGACTAGTCCAGCACCTTTGTTAGCCAGCTGCCTGGATGGAGTCTGGCCAGCGAGAGGCAGCCAGTGAGCACGGCTGCTGTGCAGCTCTCAGAGCAGAGGTACAGTGTTCTAGTGTTGGGCTTCATGAGGTGGTTACTCTGCACAGCTCTTCCTTGTCTCCATCTGATGTGACAAAGCGTACAGTTCGTGGCAGCGTTAGCAGGGTTACGTTTTGGTTATGAAAGGAAAACCTGCAATTTCATGAGAAGTTGGCTCAGTCATCTGCCATCATCCCTAAGGAAAAGATCGTAAGAAAGTAAAGTGGCAACAATAACTGAGGTCCCCAAACCTGAAGTTTTGGCGTTGATGTTGTACAGACCAAATAAGTTGTCTTGAACAGCACTGTATGTGGAGCGGTGGGAGGAGATGAGGGCTAGGGTTAAGGAGCCTGAAAATTCACACCTTTCCTTCAGTGAACATATGCTAATGACAGCTGTATACAAGTGAAGAGATAAATCATTAATATACAAGGAACTACTTTAGTAGTAGCATTACTACTTCAGTTACAAAACTTCTTGAAAGGAGAGAAAACGGTCCACTTCATAATTGGAGCACTTAATCAGATTTTTTTTATAGTTAGTGTATTAATCATCAATAATAATAAGGCGTAGGACCAAATTTTATTTAGTTGTTGCTCCGCAATCTGTTGAAGCTTGTTTTCACATAGTTAAGAGAATGGGATGGTTATAGAAAGGATGGAGAAGTTGATCCATAAACTTTAAGCACTGCTGATGTGTCAGTCCAAGTAGCTGTTGCCTTCACGTCAAACTAGTTATCCACAGTGCCGTATAGGAGGGGGAATGGAATTAAAATTTTAAATGTTCAAAGAGTGTATGTTAATTTTTTTAATTCTGTAAGTGCCTTTGTTTCAGCAATGTTGTGTGAAATTAAATACAGTAGAATATTCTGTTGTACTGAATTTACTAGATAATCATTGTTCATTTTATTACATACTGTAACCTAGCTTTCTATGTTGTTTGTAGTTTAAGCATAAGTATTGGAAAGAAATGGCATAAACTCTATGCACCTTTGTAATAAATGCAGTGTTTGAAGTATATTCCATCAATTTTGTTTTATTACACTCCTAAATAATACTCAAATTGAGGCTATCTGCAAAGCTACATTTTACTTGTGTTTGACAGCTAGTGTTACCAAGTGTACTTTAAGTCACCTTGTATCATGAATATCACTTTTAGTAGTGGAGACTGAAGCCGTATCAAAATTACAGGTCACAACGATAAAGCAAGGATAATATAAGCTCCTGAATGATACTCTGACGTTATGCTTCAAAGCTAATCTAAAAGGATTGCTCCCATGGCCTTTTCTAGCCTAAGGAGTAAATTAAATGCATGATGTTTGAATGTATTGGCTAATAAATCTGAAGACATTTGAAAAGTCTAGTGTAGACAAGATGGTAGCCTTCAAAGAAGTCCATAATTTGATTAAAGTGTAATATCTTCTCAATGTATTTTGACTTGTGTGCTGAATCGCATGCCTCATTTATCAACGTGACCAATTCAACGTGTGGTAAGTGATGCTTCCTACTCTGTGAAAACACTTTGGCTGATGTTTTTGAGTACTTTCAATAGTTTTGAAAAAAATGCTTTTGAAAAGCTTTATTCAGGCCCCCGACTTACCAGTCTTTCACTTGAAAATATTTCCTTTGAGCAGGTCAAGAATGCTTTTTATAAGACACCAAGCAGTACTGATTTGTTTGAGGGTGTTCAGTATATAACCATTATTTCCTTGAATTGCCAGCTAAGTTTCCAGTAAGAAAAGGGGCGGGGACACACACACACACAAAAAAAACCCAACCAAACAAAAAAACCACCACAGCCTCCCCCCAAAACTTGTTCTGAAAGAGTTGTTTATCGTGGAATAATCAGGCAGTTTTGCAGTGTAACTTCTTGAATTTGCTGGAGCTTCAGCTGCAGGCTGATAATGTGTTGCAGGTGAAACGCAGATCATTTCACTTCCAGTTTTATTTTGCATCTTCTCAACAGAATTTCTGTTGGTTAACTGGGGACAGCAGACAAAATGTATGCTCTTAAAAGCCTAAATCTAGAAAACAAATATAACTAATGCTTGGGCTAGAAATACACCAGGAAATTGCAGAGTTATTTTGGTGTTTTTGTTGCCACTACTTTTTAGTTCATCTGTGTTTCTTTTCCCACAATGTTTTAGCGGGTGCATCTGTGCAATGTGGCTGAATTTGAGAAGTGACATGCAGAGAAGCCTCCTTCTGTTCAGAGAAAAGCTGTGTGCCTTCCCTTCTCTCTGCGCGCAGGCCTGAGGAACAGGAACTAGCCTTCGCTTTAAAACCTTCAGATTTCCTTTAACAAGCACACTGAGTTTCAAAGGTACCTTCACCCTCTAAAATTGCAGCAAAATGTCACATAGGAGAGCAAACCACTGGACTAAAAAGTTGAGAGCCTGGGGTTAGGTGAGGAATACCGCTGGTTATGTTTTCATAACGTTGAATCAGCAGTTGTTTACGGTAGTGTGAATTTTTCCAGACCAAAACTTGGCATGCATCTTAAAACCCATGGCAGGGTTGCATGGAGAAGCTGGACACAAAGGAGGGAAAAACTTCAGCAATTACTGCCAAACAAGCAATTCTTTCCTATTCCCTGCTCCCCCAAGTATGGAACCTTAGTATCCTATCTAGGCATGTATGGTAACTTGCCAGGTTTGCTTTAGCCAGTGGTTTGGGGCCTATTTTTTTTCCCCTCTGGTTACTGTTTGACCTCATCTACTTGTTAGTATAGCCTGTGTCACAGGGACCTGGTCAAATTTACAGCTTTTAAGCAAGCTGTATAGGAGAGGAAAAAAGTACCTGAGTTAAACCTGAAAAAGGTAAGTTATTTTATCCTTTCAAGGGCTCGGGCATCTGTATTGATGGAGTAGTCTCCTCTGCCTC